TTAATTATTCTTCTCTCTCTCTCTCTCTCTCTCTCTCTCTCTCTCTCTCTTCCCTTACTCCCTTCATCTTTTTCTTTCTCTTTTTTGGAGCATCACTTGTAACCAACCCAATAAGTAATGATTGAGCAAATAAGACAACTGGAATATCATATTGCTTCTTTAATTAATGACAAGTCGACACCACTGACATGTTCCGAGAATTTTCATTTATAAGAAAAGTTAAGTACAAAATATTACAGGTAAATTTTTCAATTTACTTGAAATAAATCAGAAGAATATTTTTCGACAGGTTTAATTCAATTTCCTTGCGCTTTCCCTTTGTGTTATAAATTTTTTTTTTTGGTTGTCACTTTTAATACTTATCGTCTTTGTTCGCCGGGAAATACTATCAAACTTGAGTTCAATGTAGATTAATAATGACTCCAAAAGAAAACAATGGTTACCAGCCACCGACACTATATCGCGATGATACCGCACATGTGTCAATGTCGCGGTCAACGAGAGCTTTTCGTACTTGCGAAAGATATAACTGCAACAGTTGAGAAATAGCGAAACAAACAAGACAACAGAACCGCTCGAGATGATAAAACAGCGTTACGAATAACCAACAACAATGTAAATAAGTTACTCTAAAAAAAACAAAGGCTTTTCATCGATTCTCTCTCCTCCTCACTTACACTTTTCCCAAAAGACAAACACGAATATTGTTCTGCGGTTAGATCAATTAGCATTTACAATATCGCATATTGGCGATTTGGAAATTCGAGATCCGAACGTATTGTTTCCAAATCGTTAGCTGTAATAATGGACAACTAGCTGAATGACAATTTCTGAATTAATAGATGTACTATCGACACTGTGTACCGATGTAAATATGGATTTCGTAATCAGCTTATAAACAGAATCCGTGCAAAAGGCAAAGGCAATTACTGCCGTGAAAGGGTCACGTCTATACGTCCGAATACAGGTCGTTCCATTCAAAGCACTCCCGCTTTAGTTCTATTCCAATATCAAGGAAATCACGTACGTACGGCACATAGTATCATAACTCCCTCGCAAACAAGCTCCGATTCACTCTGTTTTATATTCCGTGTTTCATCTCGTGAGCGCAGCAAAAGCTATTCGAGAAAGGCCTTGTTTAACGAGCCAAGGGCCAACGGTGCACTTTACGAGTGACGTTTAGAAGATCTTAAACGCAGGTAAGAGAAGAGAAAACAGAGCCGTTACTGCACTACAGCCACGATATGCAAAATGAAAGGCTTTTGTGTAGAACGATGGCGGTATGAGCGATCAAGCTTTAATTCACGATCCTCAAGCACCTTTTGACCTTGTATTTTTCAATCTTAACGATATTGTTCATGCCGAGGGAACATATCTTTAGTTTAGAATTATTTTTCCTATTTCCGATTAATATTATATAAAGAATTTATTTTTTAATTAAAAATATTCAATTCAATATCAATATCAATATATTCGCATATGGGATTTTCTTCCAGGAAGCTTCGTAGAAGCTTTGATAAAATTGATTAAATTTTTTTCAATACAAATTTTAAATATACATTAGTTTTACATTTTCAAATAAAAAAAAACTGTGTTTGTTGCACAATCCACTAAAATAAATTACAACTACAGTAAAATTGTACGGAATATTAAAGAATAAATTATTAAATGTATCTAATTAAGTGAATTGTTGCAATTAAATATTTCCGAGAACTTAAAATAGAAATAGCATTTTACAGCAATTTTTTTTTAAATCTTTTTTATACAGACGTAGCCTTAATTCCATACGAAACCTTAAAAAATTGTTTACTCATCCGCAGAATTTATCTCGACGAGCTTTCGCATGAAAATCCACGAGTTAATACTAAATCCGAGTTAATTATTACATAATTTTTTCGTCAGATTTGTCACAACAGAGTGAAAAAAGGAACTAGCGACATTTTCCAGTACAAGCTTGATTAAATAAAGTATGGAAAATTCTGCGAAAATATTTTTCAAGAATTTTCTAAATGTCTCGATGCGATTTCAATGGAAGATTTAATTTTTTTCATGAAAAAATATGTACAACAGAAGAGGCCGTACATTTAGCAAATCACATTTTCCCTAATTCATGCATGCACAGGTACATATTTTTTATGCATACGTTAAATCCGATTGAAGCCCGTTATATTCGAATGCGAAAAAGCGTCACAAATGCGAAATCTACTTATACACATATACATATACAAAAAAAAAAATACTTTCATTAAGTTACTCGCGATCTCTGATTTTTAAAACGAGATATCTTGTTACAAGAGAGAGAGAGAGAGAGAGAGAGAAGAGAGAAGAGAGAGACAGAGCAGAGAGAGCAAATGCACTCAGTACATTTGAAAAAGAGGCAAAGAGAAGGTGTACGATATTTCGCATCATCGAGATGAAACGTTCGCATCGATCAGGCAATTTTATCCTGATTGAAGTATGTCTAAATCGTTTCGAAACCCGTTCGACGTAATTTCTCAGAGGAAAGCGCCATCTCAGAGAAAGATTTCCGCATTTCCCTCGCGCTCGCCGCATTCATCGGCCGACATTTCCAGGTTGAAAGCATCGGTAGACGCGCTAATCTATTTTCGAACACACGTCCCAGTTGAACGGTGCCCGGTAAACGTTTGCGTAAACGGCCGGCAAACACATGGTTTGTACTTGGAATGTGACACGACATAATTACTGGCGGTTTTGCCAGATTGCGGTTAAAGTGACGCGGTCGCGGTAAATCGGAGAAAAAGCGCTAATCACTTGAAGAAAAAACTTTTTCTCATCCAATTCAACTTGTAAATAATGAATAAAGTAGCGCAATGAGGTGCATAATAATAACATACGCTTTTTACGCAACAGTCCTTGTACCGCTTGTACTCGACTTGTATTTTCTAGGAAGCATGAAATTGTTTGAAACGAGAAAAGCAATACGCGATGACATTCGATGAACTGCGCGGAAATTAAGGTAATTGCGCTCCCGGCGGCTTTACGTGCCGAAAATGACCGAAGATAAAACTGCGAGCGGCATTTTCGAGAAAATGAGAGATGAGAGTTTCCTTAGGTAAAGCAAGGCAGATATTACAAAGAGAATAAAGCGCTCGTAATATTCTGCATTATTCGGTTAATTATGTTCAGTATGTAAAGTAATTAACTTCCGAATTTGCTCCGATAAAACTTGTAACATCGTTTAAAAAAAAATTTTAACTTCCTAAAACAAATGCAATTAAAAAAAGCAATTATAATTATATTTAAATGATGCAATGCCCAGATTTGACTATTGAATTATCTAAAGATAATATGTAATACGCAAATGCGACGTGTACATGTAAAATTGTTCAGCTGTAATATAATAATGTAATTGATATCATCGGTAGCGGAGCAATGCGCAACATTGAGCGCGTCATATGTGTGCAATTATGAAACGATTTATTCGTGCGGCGCTATCCAGCAGGGCTTTACGAACAAGGCAGAATATTCTAATATAAACAAAACGAATGCTATTCGTTATTCTTCGTGCTACGATCAAACGGCATCGGAATTAATTCCAAACAGAATTTGAAACGTGCACGATTCGCATCACAAAGGAATGTTCTGCTCTGCGGTAAACAGTCCTTCCCATTTACGAGTGACAAGAACAATTACGTCTAACTACATCGTAGTAACGTTACAATGCACGTTTCTTTGTCGGAAAGGAATATTGCGTCTCTAACAAGATCGCATGAAGCTGCTCACAGAGAAGCTGAAAAATAATTACACGATATGTCTCGTTCGTTTTCTTAAGATTATATATAAATAGTACATCGTTATTTTTAAAAGAAAGTTTACTTGATCCCTTGATGCCTTTTCCTTTTCTCTCTTTCTCCCGTAATTTTTAAATATAAAAATCTAAAATTTAATTACAAGAAATCTGAATTTTTGTTTTTGCCATTTGCGCTATTTACAACAATTTCTTCAACAATTATTATAAAACAGCTTCTGTTAGAAACGAGTAATGAATCTAGATCTGCGGTATTGAAGTATGAATCTATAAGCCATCAAAGGCTTTATATTCGACCCATATTCATTTGATGGGAAATCACGATAATAATATCGTTGCAACATCGACACATGCGCAATCACATGGAATACGTTTCGCGTATATAATATAATAATTTCGTGTTTACTCTATAGCAAATTCAATTCAATCATAATAAAATAATCATTCACATCCGTAATAATTGGCATCCCGGTGGATTAGTGCGGTATATAATAAATATTAGATATTCACGCGAGAGTGTATTCACGAAATCGAATCGTCATCATTTCATCAAAGGTATATATTATCTCTGGCTTTGTTAATAAATCGCGCATTCCCCCGTCTCTCGTTTAACCTCCGTTCCGTTGTTCAACCCATTCGCGAATTTACACAATAAATTTTCCGCGATATCTACCAATTCCATTTATTTATTTATTTTTTATTATTTTTTTTTTTTACGAGCCAACGCGCGCCGAAAAGGTTAACACGGCGAACCATGAAACACAAAGGGCGATCGCCCCCGAGCGAAGCTACCCTCGAAAACACGGACACAATGGCAGAGCAGGAAATTCGATCATTCAACTACTCACTCTAGAAAGACCTCGGATTCGCTTCGGGGCAACACCAACCTCGGCAATACGATGGCCTTCTTACGTCTGTTCTTGAGCGTCTGCGCGGAGAATTGGAACTCCGACGTCTGCAGGGGCGAGTGCGGGCTCAGGATCGTGATCCTGCGATCGCTACCACCAGGACTGGTCAAAGAGAATACGCTGGTCGGCGGCGGCAGGCTCAGGTGCTGCGGTATCTTCCTCTCCAGGCCGGTATTAGCGAATAAACCGCGCCTGACCTCGGCATTCAGGCTCTCCTCCCGGTGTAGATTCTCGCTGCTCTTCGACTCGACCGTCACGATCCTGCGCACGTCCCTCGCCGACGACGTCAGGAAGCTCCTGTAATGACTTCTGGAGGAGCCCAAGTGCGTCTCCGAGGACGAGGACAGCGACTCCATCGACTTGCAGTCCTCGCTGTAACGATCGTCGGCGCTGAGGAAGTTCCTCGACGATCGCAGGCTCTCCATCGATCTGGCGGTCACTTGGCTGCTGACGCCGCCGGTCGTCAACAGGTGTTGTTGTTGTTGTTGTTGCTGCTGCTGCTGCTGCTGCTGCTGCTGCTGCTGCTGGCGTTGCTGCTGCATCTGCAGTCTCGAAATGCTCTTCACCTCGGGCTCGTACTCCTCCTGGCTGGAGCTGGACTGCGAGCTGCGATTTGTAACCATGAAGAGACCCAGTCGCGAGCTGTCGCTCACACGAAGGGAGGACACCGTCGTTTTTCGACGTTCGGCGTCGTCCGGAATGTCCAAGGAGTATGGATATCTCTCGTATACCTTCCTGCGCGTCTTGCTCGGCGCGTCCTCGTCCTTCGGCAGGTTCTCCACTTCGTTCTCGGACACGCATTCCATCGTGTCGGAATCCTCCGCCGACTCCTGCGCCCGCAGAATATGCTGACTGAACTTGGAGGTAACTTTCGATGTAGTAACTTTCGTAGAGAATCGATTCACCAGCGAAACCGCCTCACGCAGTTCCTCGGTTTCATCCTCGTCCATTTTCTCGGTAAATTATTCCGGGAAACACTGACGGATGTTACCGCAGTAAATTAAGAGGGAAATTAAGAGGCCAAAACTTTTTCCGCGATAATCCAACGTCGTCCGAGTAAGGTTGTCAGAAGATTATTTGTGTAGATGATTAATCCGGTAGAAATAAACTCGATTGTCTATATTGTTGTAAAACGGAGCAGTCAAATTGTCAAATTTTCCAGCAGAATGTATTCACGATTCCACGTGGATCTCTTTGTCGTCAGATTGGAATGCATCGTTCTCGGCATTTCTTTTTTTTCAACTGCATCGCGTTTCCCACCTACATGATCTTGCCGTTTAATAGCCGACAAGCTGAAAACCAATGACACTTTTCAATATTTTGGGGGATAATTTTACTTATTTGCATTGGAGCACTTGGAGCCATCTTCGATATTTCTTGCATTTTCCATCATTAATTTCATTAATTTCAATAAAAATTTTTTCAACAACGATATATACATAATAAATAACATAGCAAATATTTAAGCGTTTGTTTGTTAAATTTATTGTGTACGCAATTTCTAAATTTTATTTTTGCATCAGCTACAATAATAAATGATATTTTAAATGAAAACAAATTAAATTGTTTTTAACGTTGAACACTGTGTATATGAAATCAAAGGAAAAATCGCTAAACCGAATCGTTAAGATTAAAGTATGCAAAGGAAAATTGGACTATCGACAGTTATGTTTAAAAAAATTTATCAGATATAAATTTGTCGTTGATATTGAATGCCTTCGGAATAGCGCGATTATATTTTTTTCGATTACAAACGAATTAATTGGTTTGAAGCTACTAAAATTCAATTATTCTCACGTTCTCAGGTTGAACCAAAATTAATCACAAAATAATCGAATCTACTATATTTTGTAATATTTTGTTACATTTTAGCAATTTCATAGTTTTAAATTTTCTCCAAATAATTTACATATTCTACTTAATTCTTTCATACAAACAAAAAAGATAATTAATATTGTTTTACAAAACTTTTATAATGATAATGACAATTTAATTAGAAAGTGTGAGAAAATTCAATAAATTTTATTTGTATTCATAATAAATTCAATTTCATAACAACTAAAAGATTTTATATATATATATATATATATATATATATATATATATATTGTCAACATTTGATGAATTATGACGTAAATTAAAAATTTAAACTCAGCTATTCTTCAAAATATTTGCATAAGATTCCTGTATGGAAAAGAAAATAAATAAGAAACGGAAGAGAGACGGCAAATTTAACGTGAGTTTTATTTGCAACGGTAAATATGTTCATTCGTATGTAAATTCCACTTTTTTTCGCAAAATAGCTCGTCTACGCGAGCAATCGAATTGATTTCCTTATAATTTTAATTAACAGAACAACTATAACTTGATTCTAATAAATTGCATGCTATCGACATTTCTCTCCTTCCCTCCTCATCTTTCTCTTTCTCTTTTTTCGTCTTTGAACGTTCTACTTCTCTTTAACCGGAACATTTATAGTTTCCGCAAGAGTTACCTTGTCCACGGACGAAATTCATGAATTAAAGCGCCCGTGCGCGAAGGCGCAGCTTTCCAGGTTCGTAAGCTTCGCTTTCAAGTGACGTGCAATTGGCGGGCGAAACAAGAATTCGATACAAGTTCGCAATAATGGCTACCGGTAGAGATGGGCACAACAGGCGCGCCGCGGTGAAGTCATTCGATTGCATCCCCCTTTAAGTTGAACTGCAGAACTGTATCTGGCTATAGCAGTTACGCCATATAAATGAGAAATGATCGAAGTGGTGCTTAAGTGGTAGCTATCTCTTATTTGCGTAGTATAGAACTCGCAGCGATCGCACACAATGAGAACCAATCCAATGGGAAAGACATGTAGAGCGTGTAATGTCTCGCATATTTTCCCTGATACTTATCGCGTAAAGTACCGTATATTCGTTTCCACGGCAGGAATTTCCCTATGGTGTTTATCTCCCAGCGACAAGAATTTTCTGGGGGAGTTTTTTTTTCACGATTTTTATGGTCCGCAGTTACGAGCGGATAACGCGCGCATTCCAAGCATTACTCACATGAACGAAGTAATTCGCGGTATTAAGGGGTCGCGTAGTTGTGCGGCGTGCAAATCGCATTAATTAATATATGCGGGACGCGCGTAATAAATTATTTCAACCGATTGTAAACGTAATGCTATAATCGTAGATGTTACGTACATACCAACCAATCTAACACCGATGAATTTATTCCACGCGTTTATCAGGTTAATTGTACAGTTCGCATCGCACGGATAATGAGTAATATCAAGCAAATTGAATCACGGCGCATTCGACAACGAGCTCTGATATGAAATGTCGAATGTCGAGCGCCGACGATACTTTGCCGCGATCGTGTATTCCGTGCGTGGTAATAATAATCCGATGAGCAATTTCTAATTTTCGAAACAACTTCTGTTAACTTCTCTCGCGCTGATTACATCGCGTCGGATCCGATGTCAATCCGATAGTCGTTCAACTCCGAACGGACTATCTGCTAAAGTTTAAAATTGATCCGGGACGATATCGCGTATATTAATATAAACGAAATAAGATATTATAAATAATAACAATAATTTCAAAATCGCGTGTAACTATATATATGTGTGTGTGTGTGTGTATGTATATTATTACATGTCCATTCCATACGACAATTACTTTTTCTTTTTAATTAAACAAGCTTTTTTTTAGTTGAGCTTTCAAATTAAGTTCTGCTTTTGCAACAAATTTTTATACAGAGTTCTCGCTGCCTTTTAACTGCACGATAAATGATGCTGTCGTACCTAATTTGTTTATAGAGACATTGATCGGCAATGTTAAGAATCTTACCTACTATAACTGTACGAAAAGAAGAAATTGATAGGCTGCCGCTTTTAGCAGATTTTCGGCCAGTTTGCAAAAAGATGCCAAGAAATTCTGCCAAACCATTTGCGAAACTTTCAGTGATCTACATCAAAGTACGGCAAAAACACGGCAGACACAACCTTCGTTAATTTAACGTCTATACAGGAGCACCCAACTGACGTTCAACATTTAATATTTAATGCTTCGTGATTGAAATTTCGATATTAAACTTTTAGCGCGTATACCCATATCCTCTTAGCCTTTACAGTTTCGAAAAGAATAATAACAATTTATCTTTTTTTATTACGCTTACCTCTCTTAGGTATTATACGTCTCTTTATTGTACAGCTAAAAGTTAATTTTTTTTTAAAAGTTATTATCAAGCGCGTTAGGATCCTCGCGCTTTAATAAGAATTTTTAAAATTCTAACTACAATTTCTAACTCTCTGTCTGAGTTTTTTCAGCTTTTACGATATTTCGGTGCTTTTCTCATCTGCGATCTTGATACATGACACGGGTATTTAATCTTTTAAAAGAGATTAACGCGACGTTGCAGTTTCGGAAAAACGGAAAAACAGTTTTCGCAATCGGATTCCGTATCGTGAAAGCGCTATTTTTCCGGACTGATCCTTTATTCTAAACCAGCAAGGACACCCACGTTGGGACCATTCATATCTACGCTGCAGATTATGTGGCCGATTACACGCGAGGCTTTACCAGCATTTTACTTATCGATCCTGCTCTTAGATTGCACAGCGAGCGAACTTTCGCGAAATTGACGACACTGAAAATCCGCGCGATGCAATTTGCTCTGTAGAATATACGCTTATTATCATCGCGAATATAATATCGAAAAACTGATGGAATCGCGCATAACTGTGTATTATTAAGATTATATTGCGCCTTATATATTCGTATATATATAACAAACAAATTAATCACAACGAATATTTTAGATGTCGTACGTACTGATTAATTTTACATGTGTTACAGAATATTAATAACTAAGTTTATAACTTGATAAAAAATTGTGACTGATCATGCGTCTGTGCGGGAAAAACTATACACGTTTATTATTTGATTAGCAACGAATAAAAAATTAATAAAACATACGTACGTTAATTGCAGGTAATACATGAAAATTAATAAATAAATGAAAATATATAAATAATAAATAAATCAAGATATATTTACTTCATAATTCATCAAATTGATAAAATGATTTCTTCTAAAATATAATATATAAAGTTCAAATAAAAATTTCCAATAAAATTCAAATAAAAATTACTGGAAGAATCTAGCAGTCGATTATAGACTACCCCCCAAAATATTGGCATATTGACAAAAGTTGCAATTTACTTCTGCGATCAGGGCACGTATCACAATCATCCACAGATGATTATGATACGTTTTCATTCGAAATTCGGTCGTATACAAATTCAACGAACTAATAGAAATCCTAGAGGCCACGGTAACCTTGTTCTCGGCTTAAATGAATAATCGGCCCGGCGATTCCTCGACGAGGCAGTCACGATTTGTTGATGACCACCGGCGTGAAATCGCTCGCAGTGTTTCGCCACCCACGCGAGACACACGGCAAGGCTACACTTCACTCGGTACGAACCCGGGGAAACACGCCACTTCCGGTTGGATCCGTTTACTGGGGTTCTATATAACGGTCTCATCGATTTCGGCGATGAGACCAGCTGGTGCAGTCGGATTACGGGAATTGGGTTCTAGGTCAAACGGACTGGATTCGCCCTTTCACCTAGATTCATCACTGGGTGCCACGCGATTTGGCCATTTTAGCTGAGCGCTAGAGCCGTGAGGCACTTCATCTCGAGTATATTTCGATACATTTAAATAGGATTGACGCGAGTTCACTCTGCCATTATTATCCACACACACCCACACCCACACCTACACACACACACACACACACACACACACACACACACAC